GTGGTGTGTTCTTGTCTACATAACAATAGTGAAAGAGAACAGGCTGATATATTTCACATTGTATTGTTATGAACTAAATCATTGTATTTGCATAACTTAAGGCAATGCACAAAATTTGTAGTTGAATCTTCCAAGAATGCTTGAAGAGGGTATGAACACAACATACAGCAGTTTTCTTGATGTTAGTTTAGGTTTTATGTATTCAAATTTTACAAAAAAAAAAGAAAACAGCTACTAATGAAATAATTATCTATGAAAATACACATTTAAGGACTTCTTAGATTTGGAATTTATTTAGGTTCTTAGTTAGGTTTTTTGAGACATCTGGCTTGATAAATTCTCAGTTCCCTGAAGGTTAGGGAAACAGACTTCCCAGAAGGCTGGCCTTGTGGCAGCCAGCTGCTCTGTTTTCTCAATTTCCCCAAAGTAAGCAAAAAGAAATCCGATCATTACAAACCCTTATTAACCTAATTCTAAGATCTATGTTTCTAACTAAAATCCAAATGGAGTAAGTTCAATCCAAATTCCTCATGTCATTAAATTGACTTGATTTATTGGCTGCATTTAGTTTTATTGATCATGCTAAAAATCTGAACTGTCTGGGATAGTTGGCTCTCTGGCTGAATTTTTTTGCATATTTATGTTGCTATTTATTTTCTTCTTAGCCGAGTGTTGTCTACTTGAAAATTAATTCTAATGCTTCATCCTATCTAAATGTCTTTCTAAAAACCCGGTCATTTATGATTTTTATTTTATGGAAATAAACGTCATTCAATATATGCTGAAGGGATCATGCATCAAACAATGATAAAAAAACAATTATAGTTATTTCAAAAAAATTCAAAATCTAAAGAAAGAATTTAGTCTTTGTTTTCTTACATTGGTTTATTTTTTTTTACTTTTTTGTGTGAAAATACTGTACAGAGGGGTTACAATTACATGGGGAAGATAATGAGTACATTTCTTATCAAGCATTGTTGCCTCCTCCTTTGTTTCCCCTTACCATCCCTTCCCATCTCCCTGCCCCTGCCCCCCGACCCTCCCACCAAAGTTGTAAAGTTCGTTTTTTGACATAAGGATTTGTACATCTCATTGTTGCAATGGGTTCACTTGAATCCCTATTTAAATCATTTGTTTTTTCCTTTCCCCTCCACAAATTATACCAACATCAAATACAGTGAAAACAGGGGTTGTACCGTGGGGGAGGGACATACAAAGCAACAAAGAAATCAAGTGACATTGTAACTAAAGTTTCTTGGAGTATGCACCATTTATTTTCTGGGCTCTGATGCTCTCAATACAAAATCCTCAAGTACACGGTAGAGAGAATGTTAATTATTGCTGTATAACATTTAACAGAGGGGTTTTTTTAGATGCATATAAATAAATGACTGAGTTATGTTGGTTGTAATGCATTTGAATTAAATTGTTATAGCTGGCAGATATGTGTGTGTACCTGCTATATATATATATATATATATATATATATATATATATGTTGTTGTATACTAGATAATGAACTAGATAAATAGCTAGCACACACACATATGTGCTTCTTGTATCTTAGATGCTTTATAAACTGTCATTTAAAGTTTGCAATGCTCCTATGTGGAACATACTGTTGTTATTATTATTTTAATACTTTCCAAATAAATAGGTACATGTAGGACCTTGATTCACTGTCACACACTTGGTACTTAGAAGAGAAGGTAATAGTATGCCATGCAGTCCTGATCCACTTGGAGCAAGGAGTCCTTGTAGGGCCTTACCTGTGCAATTCCACCCTCTAGAGGCAGGACAAGCCTGTGAAGGAATAGATATGAATTCAATTTTGTTTTCAGTATTGAAAATAAACTTTTAGCTGAAGTTGAATATGTGTTTAACTTTAAACAGCATAAAAATGACTTTTGCACTACATGACATGGAATTATAGAACAGAAAGTCACCACTGTTAATTCCTCCTGATGTGAGAGTCTAAGACATGGACAGGATCATTCTCAATGAACAAACATTTTCCTTTTGGAAAGTTTTAATTGGTTATTAACTGCTTCAAAGAAAAGATGAATGTGTGCATAATAATGGGGTACAAGTCATGTATCAATATGCGTTCATTTTATGTAATGTTTAAATCAGGTTGAACTTACCTTTTTCTTCAAACATTTCTTTATAGTAAGACCTTTAACATCCTTTTGAAATGTGCTTTATTGTTAACCTTAGTCACCCTAGTGAGCAGTAAGAAGATACTTCTTTCTACCTCCAATGTTGTACCCACTAGACAATCCCTTTTCATCCTACACTATTACTCTCTCAGTCTCTGGAGAGTAACTACTACCATCCACTCGAAGCTTCTATGAGATACTTTTGGATTCTGTGTTGAGTAGGATCATATAGTACTTGTGCCTGTAATAAAGTATACTTTAAACAGAATGAATTAGATTTTTAGGAAATTTTCTTGTTTTGTTTTTTGTTAATTGTAAAGGTGATGTTCAGAGGAGTTATAGCTACATACGTAAGACAATGAGTACATTTCTTTTCAGTGTTACCTCTCCCTCATTTTCTCCCACTTTCCCTCTCCCCCTGGACCTGACCCCAAGTTGTAAAGTTCATTTTCAGCATAGTGTCTTGTGAGTGTCACTGTTGAATTGGTTCACCCTTTGTCCTTTGTCTCCTTCCCATCCCCAAATCAGATAAACTTACATCCAATACAAAGGGTACCAAAATTTTAAAAAAAATGACAACAGGTTAAATGAAAGTGGGAAAAAGAAAAAAAGTGAAAGGAAAGCCTGGTGCCCATGGCTCACACCTATAATCCGAGCTACTCAGGAGCTACTAGCTGAGATCTGATGATTTCGGTTCAAAGCCAGCCTGGGCAGAACATCTGTGAGACTCTTATCTAGAGTTAACCATTCAGAAAACTGGAAGTGGCACTGTGGCTCAAGTGGTAGAGCTCTAGCCTTGAGCTGAGGGGCAGTGCCCAGGCCCAGAGTTCAAGCTCTACGACTGACAAAAAAAAAAAAAAAGAAAAAAAGAAAAAAATAACTGTATACAGTACACTAAGGGGGAAAAATCCCCAAACAATAAAATAAACACTCTTATTCCTGTATCTTGTAGCTCATTTCGATTAGCATAATTTTATAAGGTCATATACACATAGCTATTGAACTATTATGATCCTCTGCTAGAACTATCTTAGAAATGTACTAATTATTACAAATGAGAAACCAGGCAGCTTACGTTTCTTTGGGCCTGGCTTGCTTCATTTAATATAATATTTTCCAAGTCTTTCCATTTCCTTACAAATGGGGCAATGTCATTCTTTCTGATGGAGGCATAGAATTCCATTGTGTATATATACCACATTTTCTTGATCCATTCATCTACTGAGGGGCATCTGGAGTGATTCCATGTCTTGGCCAGGTAAATAACACTGCAATGAGCAAGTCTGTGCTGGTAGTTTTAGTGTAGCCTTGTTTGTGTTCATTTAGGTAAATGCTCAAGAGTGGAATTGCTGGGTCATAGGGGAGCTCTGTGTTTAGCCTTTTGAGGAGAACCTCCATACTGCTTTCCAGAGTGGTTGAACAAGTTTGCATCCCCACCAACAGTGTAGTAGTATCCCTTTTTGGCCACATCCCTGTTGGCATGTGTTATTTGTTTTCTTGATAATGGCCTTTTAACTGTGCTGAGGTAGAATCCCAATTTTGATTTGATTTATGTTTCTTTTATGGCCAAAGATGTTGAACATTAAAGCCATAGTTACAAAAACAGCTTGGCACTGGCACATAAACATGCCTGAGGGCCAATGGAATAGATTGAAGACCCAGAAAGTAACCCACATATCTAGAGCTACCTAATCTTTGATAAGGGAGCCAAAAAGTTAGTATGGAAGAAAGACAGCCACTTCAACAAATGGTGCTAGCAGAATTGGCTACACACATGTAGAAAAGTAAAGTTGGATCCTTATATATCACCTGCACCAGAATCAACTCCAAATTGATCAAAACTCTCAATGTAAAATCAGATACACCGAAAATATTACAGGAACAAATAGTGGAAATACTAGGGCTCCTTGTCACAGGTCGAAACTTTCTCAATAAAGATCCAGAAACACAACAAATCAAAGAAACATTGGATAAATGGGACTGGATTAAACTTCAGAGCTTCTTTGTGGCAAAGGACATAGATAAGAAAATAAATAGAAAGCCCACAGAGTGGGAGAAGATCGTCATTAACAATACAACAGACAAGGGCTTCATATCTAAAATATACTTAGAGCTAAAAAAATTAACCTCACCAAAAAAACATAAATCCTCAAAAAAAAAAACCCAATGACCCCATTAATAAGTGGGCTAAAGACTTAAAGAGAGACTTCTCTAAGGAAGAAATAAGAATTACCAATAAGACACATGAAGAAATATATATATATATATTTTTCTTTTTTTTCAGGTACTGGGGCTGGAACTTGGGGCTTTGGCACTATAGCTTAGTTTCATTTTTGTTGTTGATTTTTTGTTGTTGTTGACATACATAGAAAACACAAACAAGGTAGAAGAACGTGATGGAAAGTCACCTTTTATTGGTACCATTTGCGATCATGTATACGATTAGTTGTTCTCAACTGCCCAACGTCAATGCGGCAGCATCAATTGTGGAGTTTATTTCAAGTGGATAATGTGGGTAATTTGAGATTGCTCCTATTCAAAGACCATTCTGTTCTGTAAAGGTTTTAGTATGTATTATGTGAGAAAACTAGATAATTGCAGAATAACCCCAACACTGAAGAAAACAGGAGATTGCTGACAATCAAATAATATTATAAAGATAAAATGTGAATGCTAGCACCTGAAAAAAATTTGTGCTTACAATGTTTCCATGGAAATATATCTTAAGATATTGCTATAGATCTATTTTTGAGAATGTATCTTTAGCAAATTTATTAATGGATATGACTCTATGTTCGCATAACTTGTAAAGTTGTTCATTATCTATCATTTTTTCTGTAGCCTGAAAAAAATGACAGTGAGCCAGGAAGCCAGAGGATTAAACCTGTCTTCATTGAGGATGCGAATTTTGGCCGGCAGATATCCTATCAGCATGCAGCTGTCCATATTCCCACTGACATCTATGAGGGCTGTAAGTACATACAATCTCTGTTATATATAAATATATATAGATATATTTTATGTATACATATTAACACTGACCATTAAATGTTATCTTTGTTATTTGTTATTTTTCATTTTAAATTATTTTTAACTATTGTAACAATTTTTCTGATAACACTAGGCTGCATAGATGCACTTCTCAGATTTTAAAAGAATACTATCTGTCTATTATTTGTTGGGTGTGCCAACATAATAATAATTTCATTATTTCTTATTTGTCTATTCATTCACACTGACGAAATGTCTGTACGTTAGAGTTTGGAGTCAAAACTTTTCCCATTAATGTGTCTTCTTAGATTGTTGTGACCAGTGTAAGTGGATGGAAGAAACTTGCTACCAATTAGAATGTTATTAATTTGGTAAATGCTTTTTATAATTATGTTTATTTTGTTGTCTGAGGTTTCAGAGTATTTTCTCCTTTTTTTTTCTGAAATCTAGTAATCTAAAAATGCCAAAAAGATTCCAAGCCAGTAATTGCTCTTCACATAGATTTATTCTATGGAATATTTTGCTTAAAATATGTATTTATTTAGAAGATGTGTATAGAAAGTCAAAATGAAAGGAAAGCTATTGTGACTGAACCAAAGATGACAGTACAAGAGCTCCCTGTTCATCTAGTATTGGTATTCAAGAGGTTTGTTTTTCTGTAGTCATTCACCCATGGTTTCATTTTCAGTAATGATAGTTCTCCATCAGTAGGAAGCTACCTCATGGGAGAACTTTCATTTCATATTATTTTTGTTCTTGTAATTTTTATATCATACTAATAATTAAAGCATTGATATGTTTTATCCTAGAACAGGCATGCAATCTAACACATAAATCAATTTGGAATATACATTTTTAAAGAATATTAATTTTTCACATAAGACATGCATTTTTATATATTGTAAGAACAGTGACTGTACATGTGTTTTTCTCTCCATTTTAAATAAGCTGTTTGTAAACATCCACAGAGAATAAATTTAATAGAATAAAAATAGTTTCAAATAAATAATGAAATAGTTGAGTATATGTATTAAGATCATAAGGCTCTGTTTGGTAAGTTATGAATTTTTTCAAAGACAAGCTTTGTCTTGAATTATTAATTTAGTCTCATTTTTCTTAATCTTGGCATCTCCCTCTGCTGAAATATCATCAGGAAGATTGTAACCTCGTGTGGCCTGTACTCCTTTAAAATTCATATGCAGCTTTAGGAGCTACAAGAGTAAATGACAGAAGTGAAATCAGAAATGTCAACAAGATCTGGAAAAATTATATAATTGCCGATTTCTTCAGACAGTTTGGAGGAACATCCTAGATTTACATGATTGTTCTAGGTTTTGGGGTTTAATGAATATTAAAGTATGCTTTAATTGAAGGCTTACAGTCAGGAAATAAGCTTGTCTGGTAAAAGGCAGCTGTGTTGTTACATTCTCAGAAGAAATCTAATGTTCAAATTTCCCAAAGGTGATTTCCTCTTTAAATCTCTTGAAATGAAATGTGATTTTATTTTTTTTTTGGTGGAACAGTATCTATTTAACAGTTATATTTATTTATATATTTAAAGTTTCAGTATAGTGTAATGATAAGCCATAATGAAAGTATAAAGAAAGGTCCATTTTTCAGAATTTCACTGGTTACTAATTTTAATTTCATGGTCATCCAACCCATACATAATTTTCAGATTCCATTTTTTGTAGGTATAGAAATTAAGCATAGATTTGAATAAGAGAAATGATAGAGTGTTGTGATAGTTTTTTTTTTTTTATTCTGTTTTTGGGCTTGAACTCGGACTGGGTGCTTCCCTTGGGCATCTTGGTGCTCAAGGCTAATGCCCTAGCACTTCTGGTTTTTGAGTGGTTAATTGGATAATGCTCTATCACTTCTGGTTTTTGAATGGTTAGTTGGATACAAAAGTCTCCCAGGGACTTTTTTGCCAAGTTTGGCTTCAAACTATGATCCTCAGATATCAACCTCCTGAGTAGCGAGGATTACAGGCATAAGCCATCAGGGCTAGTTATGACTTAACTTTTTAATCATCTTATTATGAGTTTTTAAAATCATTTTAGACTCACGCTTAAGCACATCACATTGAATATTCTATAGTCCATTTCAATAGAGATTCATGTTGGTATTTTTCATAATTATAGTTCTCAAAGAATATACATTAACAAGAAATTTAATAAATGTAACTGTGTTGTAGATTTTTCAGGCATATGATAATTTTATCCTAACACTCTGTAATATACTCAAGGTAATCATTATTTTATAAATAAAATTTCATGTTAAAAACTGAATAACTTTTGAGGAATTGAGATATTTTAGTGAGAATACTATATGATTAATATGAGTAAGTTGACTTCTTTCCTGAAAAATAATTGTAATCACAAAATAAATAACAAAAGCAAAAAACCCCTCTCACTATAACTACAGAAACTACAAAAAATGTAAATTATTTAGAATCTAAACAAAGCATATAAAGTGTATACTTCTGAGCACTTTCCAAAAAGAGGCACAATTCTATTAATTTTACTTTATTGAGCTATTCTAAGCCCATCAGTTTTTAAAAAGCATACTAACTATACCAAACTACTAAATTTGTAGTTTTGAAAATTAATCATAATCCAAATTATTTTAATGCAATATCCTCTGAACTTCTATAATACTAGAATTCCAAAATGTTGTACAATTTTGTGGTTAAAAATAACAAGTGTGGTGGTCAATGGTGATATCCTTGATACTTAGGCGATGGAGATCGGGAGATGGAGACCAACCTTGATATAAAGTTGACAAGACTGCTTTAAAGTTCACAAGACTCTTTCAGCCAGTGACTGAGCATAATGTCATGTACCTCTCACACCAGCAACAAGGGGAAGCACAAACAGGAGGATTACAGTCCAGAATGGCCCAAATATAAGGCAAGACTCTCTCTGAAAAATAACCCTAGCTAGGCACAGATGGCGGCTCATGCCTGTAATCATTGCTACTTAGGAGGCTGAGATCTGAGCATCGTTGCTCAAAGCTAGCCTAAGCAGGAAATTTTTATCTGTATTTTACCACCAAAATGCCAGAAAAGCAGCTGTGGTTCAAGTAGTATAACATCCAAGCCCTGGGTTCAAGTCCCAGGACAGCACAAGACAAACAAACAACAACAACTACTACTACTATGAACGAACCTATAAAACCTACAAAGGGTTGGAGATATGGAATGGAGGAGGGGGGGTCAAGGCAGAGACATCAATTTTTATCAAAGTTCAGCTACCATCCATGTACAAAAATGTAGCCTAAGAAAACTGAATACAAATTATGGATCTGTCATTGAGTTAGGTTCAGTTTCTATGTCTGCACAGAGGTAACACACCTCCCTGGGTTTACCCGGTCTTCTTGGGGCACTATCACAACAAGTCTGTGAACTAGGAAATGCTTCCACCCTCTTCTTTTTAAATCCTCAAGTACCATTATAAGACTAATACAGAGGAGGACTTTCTTCAGCAATGCAAAATACTAATGTGCTACTCAAACGTAAGCTACACCACATTTAGGCTTTATCAGAATTAAATAATTCCCAAGTGTTTAATAGGTTCACCTCACTATTAACATATTGGACATCCATGCCAGGCTTTTGAACAATTAGTCTAAATTTTGCAAGATGGTGGTTTGTTTCTCTTTAAGTTACCTTTTAGTCCAACATGGCCTAATTTTCAAGAGCATTTCTGAGCACCCCCCAAATGAGTATCCCTAGAAAGATTTGTTCTCTCCTAAGTTTTGATGAAGGCAGCCTGAAATTTCTCCCCACTACTGTCCTGCTGGCATTATTCAGTTATTAATTTCATTCAGACATAAATATGAATATGAATCATAGCCATGGAGCAGTCTTACCTTTTGTTTTAATGATTTTTTTCAACTAGTGGTTTTATAAATCAGTAAGTTTCAGATATGCAGGATGAATCATTCTACACTCTAGGGTTTTTACTTTTTTAAAAATAACTAAAAATACGAATGCCATTAAAAAACTTGATTAAAAGGTTTATGTGGCTCTAATATTAGCAGAGTAGCTTTTCTTTCTTCTTTTTAAAGTGCTATTTAAATTTTAACGACTTGATTCTGAATCATGCAACCAGAAATCTGATTAGGCACTGAGAAAGAGCATTCAAGAAGTCCATTTTCTTCTGTAACTAAGTGACCTTCTATTATAATAAAGGGATTAGCTAAATAATTAGTATTTCTCCTCATTAGCAGAGCTGTGAAATAGTAAGGGCTAAATCATAGAAAGAGGCTGAGGAGAAGCCTGAGGTTCAAAACATAGATTTTTTAGTCCACAGTAATTTGATCATAGTTAGAAAGTCTAGCATAAAGAGAAAAAATTCTAATACCAAGATAAAGTTTTCATTTATTTCTCTATTGATGTTTTTGTAATAGGAGCATGTCACAGACTGTATTGTGGTGTTCATTTTCTCACAACCAAATGACACAGATACCGTATTCTTTTTTTTTTATTATTATTAGTGTGAAAATACCATACAGAAGGGTTACAATTACATGGACAAGATAGTGAGTACATTTCTTATCAAGCATTGTTGCCTCCTCCTTTGTTTCCCCTTCCCATCCCTTCCCCTCTCCACCCCCCACCCCCAACCCCCACCAAGGTTGTAAAGTTCGTTTTTCAACATAACATCTTGTACATCTCATTGTTGTAATGGGTCTACCAGTAACCCTATTTAAACAGTTTGTTTTTTCCCTTCCCCTCCACACATTATATCAACAGCAACTACAATGAAAGCAGGGCTTATACCCTGGGGGAGGTACATACAAAGCAACAAAGAAATCATCTTATAAATATGTGGGAAACAATCACAAGAAAGAAAAAAAAAACATTTGAATCCTTATCTTGGGGTTCATTTCGTCTAACATCAACTTGTCTGACAGGTTCTGTTTGTCTCAGACACATACTAGTTATTGCAAATAAGGGAAACCATGGGACCTATG